CGAGAAGAAATCCTTGTTATGATCGAGCAAAAAGTTGAAGCGCCAGGTCGAAACCTTGTTGAGAGATGTGTCGGGCGTCAAAACATAACATATCATAGCACATAAACGCATAACATAACATAAGCTCATGACGCAACGCAACAAAACAAAACATTGACTCTACTTTCATGGTGTCCCTTGACAAGTCATGCCATCAAATTAAATGTGCATGTTTTAGCTTGGCCCTTCTGGCAACTTCTGAAATCGTCCTGCCTGAATGCCGAGTCTAAAGGCCAGAATGAAAGCAGGTCTTTCCTTCTCTTGGACATTTGTTGTACGGTAGCAAAGTGTCAAGATCTCCAACCAATCCGCTGCCCTGCCCAAGATCACCGCTAGACCAAAAGAACCAGCTATTCTGCACGCGATGTCTTCTTGAGGTGGGTAGTGTCTGCATCATGTTCCCAGAACAATCAAAGGAAGAAAGCAAAACGAACAGGACAGGACGGACTGAAACAATATATATATATATAAGTGTGTTTTATTAAAAGAACAACATATTTCTTTGTTTAACAAATATATATATATATATAAATATATGTTCTGTGCCAAAACAACACCTCAAAGTCTCAGACTTTAGAGCTTCCAGATCTTCCTCTGGGTGTCCCGTGCCCCTTTTGGCCGTTGACCCTTGCTATCCATGAGTGAGAAACTGATGTTCAAAGCCTCGAAGCATCTCAACGGAATCGCAACGGCCAAGCCAAGCTTGGAAGTCAAATGGCCAAGCTTCTTTAGATTCAAGACCACTGGCACCGTTCTGACAGCCGAGCCGAGAAATGTGAGAAGCATGCGATGTTTTTATTGAAAGGTCGAAGGCAAAGTGGTGAATTAAGGTCGTGTCATTGCAGGTTGCTGTATTTCAATATTATCTTGTTCCTGCTGAGCTGATCAATCTAAATGATCTTTGGGACCACGGACTTTCAAGCAAGCAAGCAAGCAAGCAAGCAAGCAAGCAAGCAGTGCTTATAGTATAAATATAAATAACATAAATTCAATCAATTACAAAAATCGCATGTCACAATCAAATATCTCAAATCAGCACTGAGTGCCACACATGATTTAAGTCAACATTGCACTTCATCATGCTGTAGTTGTACTCCAGATAGCTGCCTTAGGAATGAGCGTGGATGAGCCGATATACGGCTTTTGAAGATTTTTGAAGTGCAATAGATTCCCTGCGATAGATCCGTCCAAATTAAGAGGCCTTGATAGCGAAGCGCTCCAAATAGGCAGAAAGGATCAGAAAGGTACTCCCTGGTCCTCCCTTGGATTGTCCACGATGCTCCGATGCTCAACCGGAAGGTTTCATGGATGACTCTTCTCCGTCTGAGCCCCGCACCAAAAGGTCCCGTAGGCGATGCCACAACGGAGGGGACGTGTGCCTCGAACAATCCCCTTGACAGAAAGTGAAGAGTGTTGGTCTCGAGGTCAAGCTGTTTCCACAACTTACTAAGTGGCACAGCAGCGCCAAAAACAGGGCTTCCTAGTTCTCATCTATATAATATATACGTTGATCAAGCACCTTGAACATCTGACCCAGCAGTTGTGGTTGCTCAAGTTCATGGAGCTTCAGCGTCCAAGCTTTGAAGCGATCCACCGACTTCTCGGTTGGGCAAAAAGCCCGGCCAAATCGATGTGGCCACGCGTAAGATTGCGTCAAGTCAACAACTGACAAAATAGAATCCTAAAGACATCTGACTGAATTCTCTGTTGCAATGCGATACTGGCGTTGTTGGCGGCCCAACCTCTATGGCAACGCAGCAAAACGTCTCAGCAGTATCGCTCATGTTCCGCCTCAAATGGGAAGAAGCCATGGGAGCATTGTATAAGACTGAGTATCTCCTGACAAACCTCACCCCTTCCCAGATTGGGCTGACTTGGCCAGCTTCCTGGAAGCAAGTCTATGTTTAAAAAGAAGGACTCAAAATGACCATCGGCAAATGGACAATAACATAGTAGTTGACAAACTCATCTCGATACATGGCCCATCCCTCGTCTTCCTTGCACAAGGCAACAGTTTTTGTGGCAAGCGGCACTTCCTCCTTCAGGTTCGCCGCCCACACCTTACAGTCTATGCAACATGTGTAAAGAGAGAACAAACTGCTTGCCATGCATTGCCTATGATACAAAGATATACAAAGAATAGCAAGATCACTCAACTCTGCAGCAAAGGTCCCGGGCCTCCTTCTCTTGTGCTCGAGGCTGAGCTCGTCTGGCCTACAGTATGTCCATATCACTCTTCAACCGGCTCCTCGTGCACTTCATGCAGCGTCTAGCCGCTAGCCCAGCTCAACCCCTGTATTGAGGAAACAAGGGCACCACCTTTCAACACAGAATGGTTTGACCATACATAGCTAATATATATATATGTATATATTATGATAATATATGCTATCAAAAGAATAGTTATATTCTTTGCGATGCTCGTCACTCTGCCCAGAAGGGTAGAGTAAGACCGTCTGCAGGCCGAGGCATCGACTGGTTCAGCCTGGACCCAGGCCGCTTTGTGTTTCTTCACACAAAAGCATACAAAAGCCGTTCAAGTCCCTTTACTTACAGCATATGCCTCACCCGATTCAGCATCAAGAAGAATAATGTTTCCATTGTTTGCTGAGGCACTGTTCATTGGGAAAAGGTGCCAGATAATCTCCACTAAGTTGTTTGATAAAACGAGAAGATGGCCCAAAATGGCCGATCCTTTCTCCGGACTTCTTTGTGATCAGAGACAGAGCTGCATCTAAGGAACACTTACACAGCATGTATGACCAGAAACGAAGCGAATTGATGCGAATTGATGCGAACCTTGTGATTCATCTCAACTTGAGGCAATTGCAATGAATTTGAGACCGCGGAGTCGATTATGCAAGGGTCTGTCTGCCGTTACTGCCGTGAGGATTGATTGATAAGCCTAGGGTGTCCTGCTTTGTACCCTCTTTCAGCTATTGCGTCTCGTCATCCAAAGCTTGCTTCATGAGTTCCATCAAACTTTGGCACGAACTTGAAGACTTGTTTTTGCGCGGATCCTTCGAAGTACTTGAACGCCCTGTCTGCTCTGTGTATTGGGGCTACGTTGGCATTGTTGCCGCCAAGTCTGTATAGTCGATTAACAACCACATGATTGCAGGGTCTATGTTGCTTACTATTGGTCTTTGTCATGTTTGGCTTCTCGATCTGGCTGTGTGAAGTGTGTGAAGTCCTCTGAGCTGAGTGTTCCAATGAAACAATGGCTGCTGCTGCCCTGCCCAAACCACTGCCTGGGTTTTGGGCCTGCAACTAATGGGCTGCGGGGGATATGCATTCACGTGAAAGTGAGAGTGTGCCGAAATTATCAAGAGTGGTACATGTCACTATTTTGCTTTTTGATGCATCTCGTGGTTATCACACATTGGTTGTCACGCATGATTATCGATGACTTGACAGTATTTAAGCAACCCACACTTAAAGTATCTTAAAGTTGTCCTGCAACAATAGGAATGTGCTGCTTGCTGTTCATTGGGCTGTCATATTTTCATGTCCAGCCGCGGGCGAAACCGGAGACGATGCAAAACGCTCAGCATCGCTCAGCTTTGGGACCAGTCTGTTGGCCAACAACTCTGAAACAAATGGTGATGGCAGAATTCATGCCTGGAATATGTCCGGCCACACTAGTCTCAACAAACAGCAACAAAGAGATTACATGAGTGAGATGACCAGTAAAATGGCCGGTTTGATCCGAACAGTAACAGCTTGGTCCGAGCAACTCTTTTGTAGCTTTTGCATTGACCAAGCAACTCACAACAAGGGCCTCAAAGTAGCGCCAAAGTTTGAGGCGCTGCATGCCCTTAAGTTGATAAGACACCGCAAGCCCGGCATCAAACATAAAGTTGATCCTATGCTTCAATGTATTGTGCCATATCTGTGATTGTCTGTGACATGCCAGGGTAGTGGAGACCTCTCTGAAGCAGTTGCGGCTTCTACTGCAGTTAAACGATGATCGTACTTGTCACAGAAGACTATGCAAGAACCCCTTACAGTCTTACAGTAAGACTTAGCATGTTGTGGGCACAGCAAGTGGTACACATCTTCGAGTATCTTTATGCTGTCGGCTTCGTTACCGGCCCACGTTTTGGTCTATTTTCTGCTTCCATTCATCGATTTCATGATATGTAATGTTCGGTTTCACAACATTGTGATCGGTTTCATAACATTGTCATCGATAAGTTGTGTGATTAAAATGGGGTGGGGGGGGTGGGGCGGGTTGTGATGGAATGAGGACGTGGATGTCATGCTGAGAACCTTGTCATCGATTTCACGATATGTAATCTTCGGTTTTACACCATTGTCATTGGTTTCACAACATTATCATCGGTTTCACACCATTGTCATCGGAAAGAAAAATGCTGGCAGCAGTTTGAAGGCTCTAAAACAAACACACACCAAAAAAAAAGACCAGTCCTGTGTTCCGGACAAAACCCTGGAAGGGTTGCATTTTCAAGAAAATGGTGACCTGGCTTCGGCGACCCGTTTTCGCCGCTAAAGTTTAAGTGGGCCGGTAACGAACCCGCCGGGATGTTTATGCCGTAGTAGCCACTGACAATGAAGATCGGGAGTCGTCCGGGCTTGTCAGTGCATCAAGCATGCGACATGTGGCATTGGCAAAGATTCCAGCAGCATTATGTGGCATGTAAATCCAATTGCCCAATGTGCAGCTCGCTCAACTAAGTAGCATATCTGCAAGGAGTGAGAATGGTGGATCCAAACATGTTGACACCCTGAAAATCTGTTCTCAACATCTGGTCATTCGTCCTCGACGAGCGATTTGGGGTTTAGATCATTTTAGATCCGAGTATTGTTCTTGTGTATGAAGGCATTGGTAAAGTAGCGGTGGTGAAAAATAAGTCAGGTGCATGCGTGCTTTGTAGGTTCACAAGCGGCTTTATGTACGACGCCAGTTCTACGTGTAGTCAGACTTGGCACTTTCCCCAGCGTGTTTCAAGTACACCTCTGCTTGGGCTATCAGATTCAATCTCGGCTCAGTGCGCTCAGAGCCGAAGCAATGTGAACCTCTCCCAAGCGCGCCAGCTTCCAATTTGCTAGATTCTGCTAGATCAAACAAAGGGAATCCGATGATGAATTGATCCCAGTTTGCAGGGCAGAAAGACTTGACTTCGAGCGGACTGTCCATGCCCACGTACTGCTCTCTAGCAACATATCCGAGTATTGCTGTCGTGGGCGGCACTGGGGCATGAGGTTTGATGAGGGTTCATGTTATACATTGCATTGATATCACCTCCCGAGACAATGATACCTCTTCAAAGATAGTTTTCCTCTGACAGCATCAGCTGTTGATCAGGAGTGCAGGTACATCTTAAAACCCAAGTGCTCCTGCAAAAACTATATATCATATGAAATGACAAGCTGGAAGATGCGCACAATTTGTGTGCACTGCATGAGTGTCCATCTGGTATAACACCAAAATGATCAATATTTAAGAGGAGGATCCTATTCGATCAACATCTGGATCGCAAGTCTGTACAGAGTCATGGAAAGTCTGATGGGACATGCCATGGGGCATAAGACCATGACTGTCAAAATATCTATATACCAGAAACAGTTTGCAACAAAGCTTGCCCAAGCAAAGACTGTAGTATTCACCTCCATGACAATGCTAATTCAATCTGCCAATGAACTCCACTGTAAATGGCTGCTGTAAATGTTGTCCGATGCCTGTTTGGGGCGCCTAAACATCTGCAAAGCTATCAGGTTTGCTTGAGGGGGACGCACACTTAATGCTTCTAGTTTACTCATTCTGTGTCTCTCCGATTCAAATGATTTAGCCTGTTCTTCTGAGAACAGCTTCATGGATGCGTCGTCTTTTACACAGATCTCATCCACTGCATCCTGGCAACATCAAATCATATCAAATCCTCGCGTGTGCCTGGAACTTAGTCATTCACAAATCCACTGATGCCACCTGCACGTCGGCGGGCGGGGAACAAAAACACTAGTTGTCTGGCACCATTTGCACACATTCAAACAAACTAGTTGTCAGGCACATGTTTAATCCTCCCCCTCGCAGTTGCGTCAATGAAAAATGTCCAGTCAGTATCAGTATGCTAATTTGTTTGCCCGGCCTGCACCTCGGGTAACTGATCAACCAAAGAACAACTGAGCTCGATTGAAGTTGAGGGCATGTTGTTGAGGTTTCTTGGTGTATCCAACAGTGGACCTTGAATGCCATAGGGCCTCAGGGAACCTGCTCAGGCTGTGCCATGATGCGGTTCTTTCTGGCTGGCCTCATAGCTTCATAACCTAGCAGCCTAGCAGCATCTGTGTCATAATAAGTGCAAACTGATCAGGCAGGCGGCAGGTGTGGGACGATCACACACCTGCATTAAAGCAGGAGGGAGGCGTTCTCATGCAGCTCTCTTGGGCAGCTTTGGACTCATGGTTGACAGCACTCCCATCAACCACTAGTGACAGCTCCAACGCAGTTCTGCATTTCACCTCTGCAAGTGAGCCGTAACAGCGTTCGTGAAATGCCGTTGCGTTTCGAAAACTTATCAGTTGCCCGGACTGCGCAGGCCTCGTGCATCTACCAACCTCCAAGGAAGGAGGGGTGAATCAAAGGTACTCACCGACCGGGTACAGAACTCTCAAAAAAGATTGTCTTTTGGGAACATCGACAAATGCTGAGACCTTCAAACGAATGAGCCGTTGTTTGCATGGTTGAAGGCTGGCTCTTGCATTTGGGACCTGCTCCCACGTAAGATAAGAGAGACAACATGTGCCAATGACTAAACGACTAAAAGTACAAGAGGGTTCCTTCATAGGCCCGGTCATTGTTCTTATGTGTTCTTTATAGCAGTTCATTTAGCAATTCATTGGCTATGCAGCTTTGCTATTTAATCAGCTACATGTTTTGGAGACTTCATACGACCAACAAGCCAGGACCGCTAGGAAGAAGCTCAGATGTTTGCCTTAGATCTTGGACTTGCGACCAACAAAAAAACACATTAAATCTGATGGTAAAGAACACAAACAGCATATATATATATACCACATGTATATATAATATATATTGCAATATATATATATATACAATATTTGTATGATCATATCATAGAATTTCATGCTTGTCACTCTTACATAAACACAAATGGCGTTGTTTCAAAAGAAACGTAATGCTCTCATGACTGCGTCCTTTTGGCCTCCGTGGCGTGACCTCTGTGAGGTTGGCATCAAGCCTTGCCAGGCCACGCCCGTTCTTCAGGACGGCCAATAAGGGGAAAGCAATGGGAAACAGAAACATGGAAGCTTCCTAGTCGCAGTGGTGATGACTACAGGGTCACCCGAAACTCGAGAGACCGTTTGGTTTGCCACCGGGAGCAATCAACAAACGTTACTTGTAGCTTTTTGCTCCTAGTAGCGATGCCCTTGTTCCTAGTAGCGATGCCGGGAGCTATATACTAGTAGCGTCCTATTTCCTCTAGTTATTCCGAGGACAGGCCACTGAGGTGACTTTTGCTCTTGGTGTCTTGTGATGTCTGAGGGTTGTCTGAGGGATGTGCGTTCTCACTCACTGGATACGACTTGTTAGTGTAACTGTTGACTCACCAGCAATTCGGGACCAGTTATATACTTGGTTGTGGCATGGCGGCATGGATGTGCTTTGTCCAGTTTAGTGTCACCTGCTTTTGAGGCCCAGCTTGAAGCAGCTCGTTCAGTTTCTGTTCCGGCTTCATTTCTTGTTTCTTTGCTCCGTTGGATCTTTCAATGGATGTGGATGGCATGTACAGCTGCAGTGTTCTTAAACTTTTGGTTTCGCTTCAGCACGTGAGTCCGTCGTTTCCTATGAGCAACCTGTCGACCGCTCACTTTAATTTGGTGCCACTTGCTTCCACGCCGGTTTGACCTACAACTTCCAGTTTCTAAAGCAGCTTCGGATGGTTTTCAGGGATTTGTCAGCTTTTTTGGTGTAGTTCAATAAACTGGAACTTGTGCATTCTCTTTGTGGAGTGTATCTCATGCTCCCTGCTTCGATGGTTTTTGCCCGTGGAGGAGTGAAGCTGCTACTTGGCCGATTCACAGGGCTGCAGATTGTGCTCCGACACAGAGAAGTACGCGGAGCTGAAGATGTGCTTGCCCGCAGTGCTTTGCTGTGCGCGAGTGCATCTGCAATAGAACCAGGTTCCTCCTCCTACTCCAGCTTCTCATTTTTCTGAACATTAGTTAGAAGCTGCGCTTTTTCAAGCACGCACTGAGAGGAACTCGGAAAGTACTGTAAACATCTGTAAACAGTAGGATTCACATGTCCTGGCAAGTCTAAGCAACAAAAGTCTACCAAAGTTGTTCAAAGCTGCTAAGGCCACAGCCGTGGAGACCCTGACATTTTGGATCGCCTCGCCAGGATTCATTCGGACTCCACAGAAAACCAACACATGAAGGCAAACATCCTCAAACAACACACCATTTTCTGGCTGGGAACTACATCAAGGTATATAAATGAAATTGCATGATTACAAAGAGTTTCTGAAAACCTTGCTAAATGGCCAAATGCATTCCTTAAGATTTGAGCTGCAAAACAATGAGACTTGGGAGGCTATTGAGCCGCTATGAATATGCTACAGTGATGCGGGGTAGCCGGATCACTTGTCGGAGTGCCAGGGTCGCGTCTGTTGGCGCCTCTGTCTGGCGCCGCGTTGCAGGAAAAGCTCACGGGCATCCTGCTGTGATGAAGATGGCAGTGTCGTAAGTTTAAGTCCAAAGGTGGCAGTTGAAGGAGCAGGACATGGTAGCAGTTCGCGGCTACTGTCATGTAGCTTTGCGTATAGGCACTGGACTGCCCCAACACATGTCGGAAATCCAATCAGTGGAAGACTAGAAACATTCTGTTAAAAAAAACAAAAATAGCTTTGTAACGTTGCTCTTTCGTAAAATTGTAGGGTGCTCTCGTGGCACCAGTGTTCAATTGATTTAGGATTTACTTACTCGAGCCTCTCAAGAATGACTGGGCATTCGTTCGGCCTCTCTACGTGCCTTGACCGCCTTGACCTAAGGTCAAGTTCAGCTCCTGCAAGAAACCCTCCAGGAAGTCCACATGATCCTGCGAACAAGTGCAAGAGAATTGCAGCTGAATGTGATTTAAACGAATCTCTCCTGAGTATTGCTGTGCTTAAGCTCGGCTGCAGCGGAAAAAACAGCCAGAGTCAGCTCAAGGAGACTCAAGCTGAAGCTCCTCCAAGCTCTGTGTTTGCACCTCACGTGCCTGGCGTTCCTCTGCCAAACGTTCGGTCATAGACTCCTCCGGGGCGATTGTGAAGCACGGAAGAAAACAAGGGTGACAAGATGTGATTAGTGAATATTAGTGATAAGACTAGAATGAGTATATAAGGGATGAATAGGGATGATGTATCTCTTTTTGATGCTCTGGAGATGAGCCGAGCAGCTTGTCTGCAGGATAACTTGGGGCCCAGACCCTCAGATCTCGGAGCTGGCGAAGTGTTTCCTGTCATGCATTTCAATGCAACTTCCAACCTAAGAGCTTTTCTATGGCCTCCAACCTACTAAGAGCGATGGCCTCCAACATAAGAGCGATGGCCTAAACATGTGAGGTTTCCAAGTCTTTGGGATTCTTTAGGACTCGATTGAAGAATTGTTCGTTGCAATTGGAATCGAGTGATTAAATTGGCGTCGGGTGCCAAGTCCCCTAAAGCGCCCGCGAGCCTCAGAGAATCTGAACTGCGAGGCCTCCAAGTCCTTCAGTTCCATGGACAGTTGTTCCTGAAACCTGCAATATATGGCCGGCATTCTGCAACATATGGCACCAGGTTCACCGCTTCCCGTGAATTGGTCTAAAAATGGTCAGACAAAGAGGCAAGAAGCGTGCTGTTACCACATCGACTAGTACTACCTCCCTAATCTTGTGTGAATTGGATCCATATTCTTGCGAGGCAAACAAATATTTGGCATCTGAGTGTATACACAGCCAGCGAGCTTTCAGAGTGACAAATCCCTCAAAATGCTGCCAAATCGTGTATGCCTAGGCACAACTGCACTCCATGCTTTACAGTGCCATGAGCACGACTGAATGGGTCAGCTGGCTGAAAAGGCCACGTGCCACAGCCAACATGCCATCACATTATCTACGTGTCTAGACAAAATAAGGCCCATTGAATCAAATCACCGAACCTTCAGTCATGTTGCACTGCTGTCAACATCGATGGCTAATGTGCTTAATGTTCTCACCATTGACTTGCCAAAACTGCTGTTTTGGTTTAGTATCCCCTGTAAAATTCACACGACAACCCAGGGGGTACCATTTTGTGCCTACAGATAGGGCACCCCAGGTTCAACCCAACCAATCCACTACAAAATCCAACCCCCCGAGATAGAAACCTTAAGTCTATAATATTGGGTTGTGGGTTGGCCATAGTGAGCTCACAGAAATTTATCAGAAAAGTGCGCTCTCTGTAAAATCAATCCCTCCAAGTTGCCACCGACAGTCCAACAAATGCAAGACCACATCCCGATGCATTTCCCGATGCATTTCCCGATGAGTTTCCCGATGAGTTTCCCGATGAGTATTCCGATGCGATTTCCGATGCGCTCACCTTTTCTATCCTTTTCCTGACAGAATCTACAAATTGTCTAACCCATTTTGTAACCCATCTGACTCCTTTTCTAACCCATATTGAAACGAAACCAGAGTTGAACCGGCATGAACCGGCTATAACACGCTACAACGTTGTACGAGACAGTGAGGCGACAGTGCTCCGCATTTTGCTGGAGCTTTCTCGCGACGTGTTCATCATTGTGGAGCAGCCAGCCCAATCATGGGCATACAAGACAGGGTGCATGATGAACATTAACCCTTCCCACCCTTCCAAGATAGAACCCTCCAGGGGCCCTGATTTTGTAGAGATTGAGTGGGAGGTGCGGGGAAGGTATGATAGGATTCATGGTCCTTGATAATATAGAGAAAACTGGTGACAGAAATGGCCCAGGCTCCTGATTCTGTAGAGGATTTGGATATTTTGATTGTATATAATATATATTATTACTTATGGTATCTTATAGTATTCTATAGTTTGTATCGACTGCAGGCCAGGCGCATCGCGCCCAAATGCTCCAGGTTTTTGGAAAATCCAAACAGTTAAAGCATGTGGCCATATTCATGAATCAGCTTTCCCCACCACCTCCCATTCAATCTCTACAAAATCAGGGCCCCTGGAGG